AACTGCGTGTGCACGGTTAATTCAGAATTTTCGGGCTTTTTTCACTGAAAGAACGGTCGTGTGCGTTATTCGAAGGCCACACAATGCGTGCAGCTGAATAGCCGGAACATCAAAAAGCTACACATTGGGAAACTACTTTAATGGATACGCTGAAACGTGAAATTACGCGCATGTTCTCACAAGCCTTGAGGCCACGTTAACCAGTTGAAATAAACCCACCGTGACAAGGTTCGCTGAAAAACAGTTGAACCAAAGTCATAAAAACAGTTTTCGGCAAACTTGCACGCTTTCGTGCAAGCATAATTTAGGGAAGCAAATGCGTGCATCAAATGTCGTGTTGCTGGAATGCCGCTTTTAAAACATGTTTCCGGGCTAACTTCTTCTGGAAAGGTCATCTGCATCAGTCATCTTTCTATCCATTTGGTCATTGTCTCGGTTGAACGGGCTTCACTCCGGTTGTGGATAGCCAGACAGCGCCTAGTCAAGGAAGAACCTGTCTGCGACCTGTTGACATTCGACCAAGTTGTCATGTTGAGGATAAGTGAGTGTAAGCAGTACTCTATCCCCAAATTGTACGTCCCTAGGAGAGCAGAGCATCCCGGGATAATATAACATAGATGGGGAAATAGCTCAAGTGTGTAGAGCTCGAATTTACTGACCAGAAGGTTCGTGGTTCGAACCTGACCCCGCCTCTCGTACTTGGGCAACCTGGCAGTAGCCCAGCCCTCGTGCTTCCTTCGGGTGGCATGGCAGCTAAGGACCAGAAGGGTGTTACAGCTAAACGATTTTTTTATACCATAGATTCGGATTATATAATCCCATCTTGGCTTCCGTATCTATGCCAATTATGGTGTGCAAAATGATAACAACTTGATAACTTATATATTTTTCGCACCCATTCAACTTATCACGTATAACTTTCCTAATCGGTATCCCAGAGTCTACTGGCTTTTGAATTTATTAACAGTATCGATTCGATACCCGCTGACTAGCCCTTCAAAGTGCACGACGTCAGTTTGGCCACTTCATTGATCCAATCGATAAATGAAGTTGAACTGTATCTGATATACGTGATGAGTCATCACTTTGGCTGCAGTGTTCTCGCTGTTGATTGGTGTTCACTAACGTGCTGTGCTCCAGAAATAAACACCATTTCTGCGTTTGGGTCTACTGAGGGGAGTAACAATCTCGTTTTCCTAATTGTCAATGAACACAGAAATCGTTTTTACACACACACACACCTAGGTGGTAGAGCAAGCATCAAATGCACTGTGGTGAAATTCGCAACCATATGAGTGGTGTTCAGACAATGTACTGCGATATACCCAACGTCGAACTAAAAAACGAAACATGAGGAGGACTATTACAGCGCACTCAGTTTTAGAGGACCGCCGTAAACGGTAAATTCACTTGGATTCAGATCAGCTCCCTCCGGAAGTCTGTATAGTTTGTGTTCGAGTACAACAGAATGTGAAGGGATGCTCGGGGACTGCGCCTAGCTGATGAGCCCGGAGAAGGGCAAAACTGGTCATTGGCTGTCGAAGTATATTCGGTAGCCTAATGAGTAGTGTGTCGCGTTTAAATCCGAGTCAGCTTCTGCTGAGCCCGAATGATTATTTCAAACTCTCTATGGCAATTTTGAACAGAACTTGCTAGCGTGGACTTATTGTAAAATGTCTGTCCTTTTGCATTTCAGTGTGTGAGGAATGGCCAGGGGTAGCCCGTATTTGAAACGCCTGGAAATGGGAAGTGACCTCGAATGACTAAAAGACAAACTGAGTGGGGGAAGTGATTTTGAGTGATGTTCGTTTGGAACGGTCAGGTATTTGGGTTTGTTGTTTGTACACTATGGGAACAAAAGAGAAGACGCACATGAGTCGAATTCAGAAACAAAGAATTTCACGGTTTGGTTGTTTGGGCCAGTTATAAAACTTTTAAGACTTTTGCATGACAATATCCCCTGTGTATACATATTCATGTTACTAGCGGATACCTCTCGTTCCATGAATTCAGGTACCGAGCGTCGAATCTCTCACAGACAGCTTAACAGGCTCGTGTCAACTTTGGACTGACATCCGATAAACTTAACTCTAGCGATTTTAACGGAATCGGATACCTATCTGTCTGTGGGTCGTGTGTGGATCTGATAAACATCCGGAGGAATAAATTCGATGGGGAAAACTCGAAGACGCCTAATGACATCCATTGGCGGTTCTCAGAATGACGGCAATACAAGGAGCACCAATACTCTATTAAGGGTGATGGGCCAATTCCACTAATTTTCAGTTTACAACCGCGACTCCAAACGCGTTCGAGACGAATCACTTTTGCGGTGATGTTTGGACGTGAATGTATGGATGCCGCAGTGACTGATTTTCAGTGTCAGGGATTGGAACCAACTTATCTCGACTCGAGCGTTGGTGACAGGTGACTGGCAAAGCATGAAAGTGCCGCTATCTTGCATGCTCGTTCCTGCATACTCAGGTACGTCCACAGGTAGACGCAAAATCTCTTCGAAATAGGACGATGACTGATATCCTTGTTGTATAAAATACACAAACAAACTTTCTATTTCAATAAAGATGACGCAATTATTCCAATATCCTAGGAATACAAATTTAAGACTTTACGTTATATCGCGATTGGTTATTTTATTCTATAATCAGATAGAATCAATAACGTGCCAAGTTTGAATAAACCGACAGCTGGAATATTGATTTTCAGACTCTTGTGGCGTCAGAACCGCTAGATTTCGCGAATTTCCTTCATTTTGCATACATAAATCTGGGAATGATATTGCTATCTTGTCAGGTGCATAATTCTCTGATTCGTTTCATCGTGGTGCAAACTATCCCCTCTATTCTCAAACATCTAACTTTACATGGAGATTTAATCCTGGCTCATGAATTTTATCGCGGAGTTGTCGAAACCAACACACTAATTAGCTGATTCTAGTTCTAACAGGTAGAACAACAAAATAACCCTGCGTAACCCGGGTGAACTGCCTATGTGGCCATAATTCAAACAACATTTGCTGACCCAATATCGGCGTACACCCATGGTCACGTGGGACCGATTGAACATTCATCGTCCCCATGTGACCGAGTTTAGGTTTGAAATATACAGGATGAACAGACAGTTCAGTCGGTACACAGGAAGTACACGCAATCGAATTAGGTTGACATTTTTCACCGACGGATCCTCAACTGTGTTTATTACGAATGCAACAAAAGTTCAAAACCCACGGCATATGTACAGGTGTTCATCCAGGCCTTTTTAAATCTATGCTCGAGACTTCCCATTTGACCTACACGCACTTGGGGAAGGACTTTGCTCAGTGACTTTGTTCTCTGGGACTGACATATTGGCCTGACTAGAACCTTCTAGAACAATGGATGGTCACTGGTCCCTATGACTTGGCACGGATTTCAAAGTGTTAGACACTTCCGTGGAAGAATTTTTCAAACGAACATCTGAAATATCCGGCGTTCCGGTCAGAAAACTAAGAAATAGGGCTACCTACAAGGGCAAAACTGATCGTGGGCTGTCGAAGAGTTTTCAGCAACCTCGTGAGCAGTTTCCCTTAGAAAATATACTGCGATATCTCGAATATCGTGCCAACTGAATCATGAGGCGACCTGTGTGCAGCACATTCAGTTGCAGAATATCATAAACGAGAGATTCAGTTGAGTCTCTCGTGAAAACCAAATTGGTTTGCAAATGCGAGTGTATTTCTCGAAGAAATAGGGCTGTTTGATGTGAAAGAAATTAAAAGTCTGGTTATAATATTTTTTGAACTTGAACACCATGGCAAAATTACAAGGGTACAAAAGGTTTCAAAGTGTCCGCATGCCTGACGAGCCACCCGAATAGCTTCACCATGAATGGAACGAATCGATTTTTTCCGGAACAAAAAAATCATTGTCTTACGACTGCAGTTCAAAAGTGCTCACGTATATGTGTCAGATAAAAACTCAGCGGCGCACCTACTAATGCCCCGGATCACTCAATCCTTCAAAATACGCCACGAGACCATTTTCAACAAACAGTTGGTCTGCAACGAAGATAAAATAGACGAAAGTCAGGAATATTTGGTGCAGTGGAATACGATTGATCCCAAAATTCTCCGTCTTCGCACAATAATCACCGCTATGCGCTGCCGAAATTTCCCGTTGTCATCATCATCAAAGACAGCAACATCAGTGTTCGCACTGATGCTTCACTGCGGTACAGCCATAAGGTTCGTCTATATATATATATATATATATATATATATATATATATGTATATACATACGTAATATAATATATATATACTTATATTAAAAGCCCTAGGGTGAAAAGGAGAGAAAAAGTGTAGATGAGGAAGGGAACTAGTGCTAGCCTATGTCAACCGCTCAATCAGACAATCTGGAAAGAAACTGACAGCGCGAACGCTACTGACATCGAATAGCCGCCATTTCTTGCGACGTCTCCAGCCAAACACAGATGGGGTAACGGGGACTCCATCCTGGAAGGCGTACAACACCAACAATACCAAAACCCTTCGAGATCTCTTTCACACCTTTCTGCCAAATCATGTGCTGTCCACCTGGCGGTTTGCGCCATACTGAAGGAGGTACGGAGGACAACACTCGTCTCGGTAGACGGTGTTTCGGCATGCGTAGCACACGACCGAGCCAACGTATTCGATGATACTGGATATTTTCCCTGATTGAGGTGCCTGCAGCACAACCAAATGCCAGTTTTCTAATCATCTCGTTACTAACACGCTGACGCCATCCAAAATCAGCCACGCTTCTGAGGCATTGGTGGTCGAAAACCTGAAGAAGCCTCACATCATCTACCCGAAGAGGCCATGTCTCGCACCCATACAACAACACAGCCCTTACTGTAGCCTGGTACACACGACCCTTAAGATCCAGTGAGATGCCTTTTTGACGCCACAAGTGACGCAAATTAGCAAACGTGATTCCAGCCATTTACATCCTTGCATTGACTTCACCGGACAGTTCCGTCAGTGCTAATACAACTACCGAGGTATGTGAAATTTTCCGCAACTCCCAGTGATTCTCCTTGCATCCTAATAGACATGTTCGCAGACTGCACGTTCTGAAGCGTAGCTTTGCACTTTGAAGGTACAAGGTGCATGCCAAAAGACGGTATGGTGATAGTCAGTCTATTCAACAGAGCCTGTGCTTCACTTTGGTCTTCAAAGATGAGGACGATGTCATCTGCGTACTCCAAACTGATATGGCTCTCACTAGCAACAATTCGAACACTGGGGTTTTGAAGACTGTCCAGTGTTCGCCTCTGAATAATCTGAACCTGAAGAATTTGACAAGTGAAAAACACTTGAAATGAGCGAATCGAAACGCTTTTGAAACCTCCTTAGGAGGCTGGCAGTAAGCCAAACCAACTGCAACAAGTCCACACTGATGAAATTTGTCGAATCGTAACGGATGTTCTCTGGACTGCATGATGGTCGCGCAGCCGGCCGGTGCTCAACCGTCTTGGTCACCGCCCTTGATGGCTGGACTCCGGACACAATCGATGTGGGTGCTTCAAAACGGTGCTTGCTTTTCATTTATCTGTTGGCCTTCCTTTTGCACTTTACTATAACAGTAAGCTGTTTCAAAGCATATTTCTATGTGAATCCGTTCAAAAAGGACCGAGATATTGGCAACATTACCCTGAAGCTCATGGATGAAGTCTAAACTTAGTTGGAACAGCAGATCTACTCGTGGTATATTGCATCAGTAATGAAAGCACGCGGTCAGTCAAAGCAGTAATATAACGACTTATTAATTGATTATTAACTATATGCTTGGTGCTAACTGCCCAACTCTTCGATAAAAGTTAATGGGTTGCTCTCATAGGCACCGGTTTGCGAAAGTGATCAAAACTGCCAAAGTGTAAAGGTACCTTCTGAAGACCATTGGGCGACAAATCTTTTCCGAACCACGTCTGAACCGAAAAATGAAAGCGCCTAGACCAATGAAATAAAACAGTAATAAAACGCGATAAAATAACGAAATATAATGAAGCAGTAAAGCTTGGTACAACTTAGGAGCCTAGATTCATGTCTTTGGGATATTGGGGTGACTAAAACGTACTCATTAGAATTGATTATTTGTTCTTGTTTCATACAATATCAAAGCAATCTCGGCCCTCGATTTACAGATGGACCACACCACTAGTGTATTCTCAAAAATATGATTTAAAGCTCCCATGACCGATTGTGTACGGGTTCAAAATGCTTTTCAAAATTCTGTTTGCACCGAGGACCCTAGAGCATGCCAGCACTATTTCTAAGGTCCTTTCGAGGATGTTCCCTAAATCCTTCACAAAGTCCTCATGGCATGTTCTTCTGGGTGCGGTGCCCAAAACGATGTGTTAACAGAACCTATCTTTGCAACCTGATTCTGATCAGGCCAATGACTTTCTCCTCGTGACCCACCGACTGTTCAATACGTTGTTCAAAAGTGTGTGTACTTTGAACTTTGTCACTAAACAGCGTTGCTCGAACTCCTCCCTACCAGGTTGGGAATCACGTGATTCTGTGACAGGTATTTGCATGACAAGTCACTAAGAATAGCATTTGAGCACTAGTCATAGAACAAACAGCGAGATTGTGTGAAAAAACGGTCTGAGAGCACACCTAATCAAACCTTCGGTTTGGTCACCTTGGGATTCTGCTGGACACTTGAGGACAAGGAAGCAATTTGACCAGAAAACCAGCTGTGTAAAATTTGTTATTCAAGTATTGACTGATCTGGGTGAAAGACGTGTCTATGAAGCTTCCAAATAGGAGTAGAATATCTGTCAGGTTTCTTACATTTGATGCCGCTTAGCAGCAAACCTTCGAATTCAACGATTCTGCTCAAAGGTCCAATGCATATTGCCGGATAGTGCATCCCTAGAGAGTTCTTGATGAACATTTTTTTGGTGAACTTCACTAGGTAAACGTTCGTTCAGTCCTAGAAATGTGTTACCTCCTTCATCTACCTTGGCAGCGTCTCAACAATTCACCACAAGTTTCGAAATGCACCTTTCCTCTACCTCCTTACACCTCGTCGGTCGTTATGTTGAGCCAACGATCAGCCCCCTTTCCAGCCTGATCGCCAGTTCCGTACACCACAGAGCGTCGCCATCTGCAGTCAGTCGCCTCGTAATCCGACAAATCCGGTTCGCGATGTTGGGCCGAGAACAACTTCCAGTTCGACTGTCGTTTGAGGTGTGACCTACAATCTCTTTTGCAGCACTATCCGGCTCTCACTTACGTGTTGTCATCCGTATAGACAAGACGGTTATCCCGTAGGTTAAATGATGCCCGACTGCGTGGCCGTCATGTAATGCAGGGAACTGTTTCTATGACTCGACTGTGTGGTAGGCTAGCCTCGCCTCTGAACTCGTGAGAACTGCACGTTTCAATACACATATGAAGCGCGTTTGTTGTTGTATTTTAGAAAAAAAGTTTTTGATATTCATAAATGTGCACCATTCGACGTTTGGATGACGTACATCTCCAGTTTCTTTTTATAGAAACAAAGCACTTTTCTGGAATGATCGTTGACATCACTCACACGGGCACGATTAGAACCACTTGTAGGGAGTCTTCGTCGTTCCCAGGATGTTGGCTGGACCCAGATGATTCCAGCGTGTTATTCAGTGTTGGGTTACGTGGCCGAATAAGTCGTCCACTGGGATATGATAATCAGTGTTTTGTGCTCGGAATTTCTCGACTCACAGCGTTCGTCCTCTGCTACCGATCCGGTTGCACTCCGCCCCATTCTTCCCTGTTGTTACGCGTGCCGAGCTAAATGCGCGGAGTCTTACGTGGACGAATATTGATGGTAAACGACTTTCCATCGAAAGGAAACTACTCACATGTTTGCTTAGAACTCTTCGACCGACGGTTTCGCCCTTCTTGGCGGGCGCCGTCCCGAGTTTCTGTCAACCTTATGTTCTACTTTAACCCAAATTGGGCTGTTGTCGAGAATTACACCCATTCGCAGCATATTCAGTTGTAGAATATCATATTCAGTTGGGACTCTCGTGAAAACCAAATTGATTTGCCAATGAGTGTAGTTCTCGAAGACTATTCTTCTCGTTTATCAATTAAATCGAACGTCTCGCATTGTATGAGACTATCCCAGCGCTCGCAGTGGTGGTGGACTTTAAGACATTTAACTAAAAGGGACCAAAAAACGGGCGAGAAAACATCACATGTTCAAACCGACCCTTCGTGGTATCTGTCAGTCGCAACCAGAACCTTTCTAGTTCACGGTGTTCCATCATCTTAAATGACGCTTTACACGATTGTCGACTGGAAGACCGACCACAGAAACCACACCCCAATCGATAGGAAGGATGCGTCAAATTATCACGGGTTTAAATAACGAATAGAGTCAATCGATTACAGTGAGAAGGGTGTTCTTTGCAGCTCTGGAAATGACAAATTTTCAATACTTAACAGTTCAAATCCCGGCGCGGCCATTGGATATGCACCACTGATGAGCTCTAATAAGGGCGCAAGTCGAGTCCAACTGCTCGTACTTGGCACCACGTGACTTCCTTCAGGCTTTAGTTCTCCGAATGTCCCCTACACTGTCACTGGAGGCTTCTACCTATAGCAAAACCAACAGTGTGTCTCTTTTCAATTTCTAAATATTTACGAATATCGTCTAGACGGAGTCTCGATCTTGGTAACTTTCTCAGCACCAAGTACAGGTGAAGTATGAGTGAACAGACTTGATGGGTATGTGGCCTCCTTAGCGTTTTTCAGAAGGCGGAAAACTCGCTGGTGTTTCGCCTACCTTTTGTATACTTTTAATCGAAACGAAAGACTGAGCAAGTCCACATTTTGGGAACCAACTAGGGTGTCGTAGAAAGACGTACCTTTGAACTGGACGAATTGCAATGGTGATAATGAAGAGTCCGGTGCGTCTATCAGAGTTATTTCCTCGTTGCTATGTCCTTCACCCGAGGACACACCTTCAGGACCCTGTTGAAGAACCAACTCTTCTCATGGGTAATCTATAGAGACCCCTAGTATCAGATAAGGCCTCATATTGTGCACCAACCAGTAGAATAGTCTATTTAGATGTGTATAGGGTTGCTGAAACCCCTACAAATAATGCGTATCACGTCTAAACATACTGCGATATCTCGATTACCGCACCAGATGAAACATGAGGTAGCCTGAAGCAACACATTCAGTTGAAGCGGCCCATAAATACTCTCGGACAGCTCACTACTGGGTTCGTTCCTTTGGTAGACCCAGTTTTCGGACTCCCAACACCATTATTACGTAATCAAACACTGACTTACAAGTTATCCTGGTGTTAGCAAGGGATTCAACTGTATCCCAGCTAAATCTTTTGTTTATCATTTTTTTTAACTAACCGTGCTGCACAAAGGCCACTCCGTAGTTCAACTGGAACCATATTCCGGATAATCAGGGACACTTTGAAAAACTGGTTTCCATGTGATCCGTTTCGGTCGTTCTTTACGAAGGATGGTTCTTCAAAGCCGCTTGTCGTGTTGACGGAAATCGTTTTACTTTGTCATTTTGTTCCCTAGACTTTGGAAACTTCATTTTATATGAGTAGTATCTTCCTCCAAAATCCGTAATGACCCGGGATAGCATGGAAGCTCACCCATCTGTGATCCAGTCTTTCGCCTGCGGTCCGCTGTTTCAATGGTCTATTTTGTATCGGAGATGTGGTCACCTTTCCAAGTTCTTTACCTCATGTGGCAGAAAAACAGCGCGCCTTAAATTCGCCTTGAAAGGCTGCTTACTTATGTTCTGCCCTTTCAACATTCGACCGCCGATATTTGCGTGGTATTGCGGGACTAAGTCGATAGAGGGGTGTATATAACGAAAACTAGGATGGCCAAACAGTTGGTAACACGTCAAAGTCAGTGGAGCGGAAAACAAATGTTACCAGTTTAGATGTGTCGCACATTCAACTACGATTAACCATCATCCAGCAGAAAAAAAGGATTTTCAAATCAAAACTTCTGTTGATGACAAAAAGCCAGTGAGGGACCACTAGCGTTGATTGTGAAGTCAACGCATACACCATCAAACTAATTGCTGCGGGCCTGAATGAGGCCCACGTGATTGGTCTTGGATTCTAGGGTTATCTCTCTGGATTCCATTTTGTTCAGCGAGCTCGACCCCGTTTTCAGGAGTATGGGATTCACTTTCTCATTTTTACCCTGAATCATCCTGGACAAAATTGATTTTCCTCTTTATTTTTGAACAGTAGAGTTCTCCTGGAAGCTTCTGTGGGTAGAAATCGCTCCTTTTAGAATGAACTTGTCGAATCTTCAGTGGGCTGAAATTGACCTCTTTGAAAGCGAGAAATCCAATGAAATAATTGCCCTGTAGTTGTTATATCTGCTGATTCGCTGACCTGTGGTATCTGCTGCTAACCCGCTCCAGTGCCTAGTGCCGGAGAAAAAAGTCTCATAGAAGGGAACACAACAGCTATATTCCGAACAAGCGAGTGCGAGAGTGAAAGTTACAATAGCCCCATGCTATTTGAAGGGGACTTTCTGATATTAATCCAGGCTGTCTGCTAGGCGTTAGTGATCACCCATCAACGTCGATCGTGCCTCTGTGAAAAGCCTGAACGCTGATCACATTCGGTCGTGCTTCTGTGGTCGCAAGAACACTCATCAGGTCTTGCTAAATTGATTGAATGATTGATTGGTCTGGATGCTTGCCGGCTGACATTTTGGTGGAGCAGTAGGTTCCGGGCGTCCTGAGGTTACTTTCAGGAAAATGACCTTCCTGATAGTAGTCATTAAGTTAAGTGGTGCCCTCCGAGACACCTATTGTGGGAAAATACAAAATGGTTGAATGCAATGATCTGCCTTTTAATCCCCATATCTGATCTACTGGAATGATGGTGAACTATTTTTTTACTAAATACAGTGACCTTGAAATTCAGCTTATTTTTTTTATTACTCTACTATGCTGACTAAAAAAGAACAGTTATCCCACCAAAAAGGCAATAGGACAGTGTAACTAAATGGGACAAGTGAGGGCCGAAAGCATGGTCGTTCCTATAGACTGGCCGCTTCTTTTCACAAAGGTCGTAAATGTGTTTCTGTATGAAAATCTGCCTTTACATGGTATTGCATGATAATCCGGGGCGAAAGCAGTTGGAATGTGTTCGTCCGTGGTTTGCACTCACTGTGGCTGAAATGTAGGACAGAAGTGCAACACATGACATGCATGCCAAGCATGCACTCACTCCATTGTAAATAACTGTCTGGTTTAATTTTTTGTTCAGCGGACCTGGATGGCGGTTGAAACAATTTATAGTTGGGTTTCTATGGTTTCAACGGTTGCCTATTCACCAATTATATATATATATAATGTATTATATGATCCTAAATTAATCTCCTACAGTTGCCTAGGCTGAATTCTGCTGCTGACCGATGCGGGTTCGAATAATCCTTCAAAAAGGGGTCTGTATGTGTTTTTTTATGTGATTGGCGACGAGCAGAGGGAACGACTCATCGACTCTGTGGACAGTTGTAACCTGGACAACTATATCTGCATGAACGATCATCCATGGCTTGAACTCGCCACAGAGGCACCTCTTCTTGCTGAGGAGAGGTTTGTTGAGCAATGGTTGATTATTAATAGCTTGACAAGGCGGGTGAATTGTGCGTTGCTCAAATCTGTCCGGCAATTGTCAAGCCGCTAGAACAGAAAACAAATTTTTGCAATGCACTACTCATAAGGTTGCTGAAAATTTGTCGACAGCCCACAACAAGTTTCGCCCTTCTTGGGGCTCATCAGGTAGGCGCAGTCCCCGAGTTTCCGTCAACCTCATGTTCTACTTGAAACCAAATTGCACGCAACTGGCGAAATACACTCATTTTGAAAACTAATTTGCTTTTTCGAGAGACTCACCTGGAACCCAACTGAATCTCTCGGTTTCGATGTTTCCAGGCAACTGAATGTGCTGCACCAGGCCGCACCGAATTTGTTTAATGAACGTTTGTCAATGTGTTTCGTTTTCAATCCTTGGGGGCTGGTGGACTGATTACAGCCCAAATTTAGCACAGCCCAGACATTTGCTTCAAATGTTCTATACCTCAGGGTGAATGGTTGGAACCGTTCCGCAGTTTGGCTGCACCGATTACTTATAGTGCAAAGAACTGGTTAGTTTAGCTTAGCTCATTTCATTTAGTTAGAAAAGCCCAATGGCACAACTCATAACATCAAAGGAGTGGATGTGAAATAGTCACCTGACTGTGATTGAAGT